ATTTGATTTGGAATCGACCCCAAACCCCTTTCTTCCTTCCCTTGTGTAATTTTCTCCTTGATTGTTTCAACTTCTACATCATTATGTTGTGCCTCCATAACTCGAGTAACAAGTGTTGGTTGTGCAAGAAAGGAAAACAAGGTGGCATGTGTTGAAGATTTACCAAGATGCAAATTGAACTCACCCAAATCACCCAACATTTTCCATTCCTTAATAGCGAGATTAACAAGAGTACTTACGGATTTTCTGCTCAAAGCATTGGCTGTTTTCCCGGGATGGTAGTGTAATTCAAAGTCATAATCTTCCAAAAATTTTATCCACCTCATTTGACACAAATTCAAATCCTTTTGGGAAAATAAGTAATTTAAGGCTTTTATGATTGGAGAACACCTCAAATTTTTCCCCGTACAAATAATGTCTCCACAATTTTAGGGTAAAAATAACAGCGGCTAACTCTAAATCATGTGTTAGATAATTTCTCTCATGGGTCTTTAGCTTGCGTGAACCATAAGCCACTACTTTGTCCTCATGCATCAATACACATCCCAAACCCTCCCTAGAGGCATCACAGTACACAGTGTAACACAAACCACTCTCGGGGATGACTAGAACTAGCGAAGTGGTTAGCCTAGCTTTCAATTCTAAGAAGGATTTCTCACATGCTTCATTCCACACAAACTTAACCCCCTTTCTTGTTAGCTTAGTCAATGAAGAAGCTAATGCGGAGAAGTCCTTCACAAATTGTCAATAGTAACCGGCAAGACCCAAGAAACTACGGATTTCAAATGCGTTCCTAGGTCGCTCCCAATTCTGCACCGCCTCGATCTTTGAAGAATCTTCGGTAACTCCATCATTGGAAACAACAATGAAATCTAGGGTTTTTTATATAGTGTTTTGAGAAGGGAGCTATTAGAGAGATAATGAGAGTGAAAGAAATGATTTGGAAAAGTGTTTAGAGTGCAATATAGCTCAGCTGCCCCGACTAGACCACTCGAGCGAACTTTCCATCACTCGAGCAAAGTACCAAAATACAAAAGGACTGCTCAAGCGAACCTTCCACCGCTCGAGCGGTAAATGTAAGGTCTCAGAAGTTTTGCAGAGCTACAGTGAAAATACTGGAAGCTCATATTTTATGCTCGAGCGACCAATCCTTCACTCGAGTTGTCTTGCCTGCAAACTCGCGAGATACTAGGAGCTACAAATCTCTGCTCGAGCAACCAAATGACTGCTCGATCGGTCCAAAAATAGATGTTACAGCCTACCCTCTTAAGGAATTTTGTCCCCAAAATTTGTATAGTTCCTGCCAAAACAATTTCAATAATTCCCAAAAAGATGGATATCACCATAACAATAATCTCAGCCATCACCACTTCTTAATCAAAACAAAATCAAAGCTAATTTTAAACAATAACCTAGAAGTTTAGATTTCTTTCATTTATCTCCTCTTACAACCTCTCTTACAATGATCCAAAATTTAAAAATAACAAGTTTGCATGTCATTAAATAAATCAGGATATTTTTCACGAACTTTAGCTTCTTGCTTCCAAGTGGCCACTTTTACCCCATGGTGGTGTCATAATACCTTGACTAAGGTAATAACCTTGCTTCTCAAGACTTGTTTTCCTGTGTCTAAGATTTTCATCGGTCTTTCTTCATATGAAGCGTTCTCATCCACCTCTAAATTCATCCAATCCAAAACATGGGAAGGATGAGGTTCATATTTGCGAAGCATGGAGACGTGAAACATATCATGCACTCTGGATAATTGTTGTGGCAGTGCAAGGAAATTAGCCACCTGTCCCATCCGTCATATGATATCAAAAGGGCCAATGAACCTAGGTGGCAATTTTCCACTTCGCCCAAATCTCATCAAACCTTTTCTAGATGCTATGTTCAAGAATACATGGTCACCCACATCAAAGGATAGGGGTTTTCTTCTTCGGTCTACATAGCTCTTTTGTTAACTCTGGGTCGTAACTAATTGTTTCCGAATGAGAGCTATTTTCTCCATGGTCTCACAAACTAATTCTAGCCCAAGCATAGATGAATCTCACACCTTGGCCCGATACAATGGTCACCTATACGGTCGCCCATACACAGCTTCAAAAGGAGCCATCTCAATACTAGCTTGGTAACTATTATTGTAGGCATACTAAAGGTAGGTATTTCTCCCAAGCACCTTTAAAGTCTAGTTCAAAAGCTCTTAGCATATCTTCTAGAATTTGGATAGTACGCTTAGATTGTTCATCGATTTGTGGATGGTAAGCAGTGCTAAAGGTTAATTGAGTACCCATAACTGTTTGTAGACTTTACCACAATTGTGAGGTGAAACGAGGGTCCTAATTCGAGACAATACTCACAGGGACTCCATGAAGCCGAACAATCTCCTTAACATAGAGTTCTGCCAGATAATCAACTGAGTCCCCCATACTCATAGCTAGAAAATGGGCCAACTTAGTCAATCGATCCACCACTACCTAAACAACATCATTACCTCTTTGTGTCCTAGGAAGGCCTGAAACAAAATAGTAATATGTTCCCACTTCCATTCCACTATAGGCAAGGGTTGTAATAACCCGGCTGGGCGTTGATGTTCCGCTTTGACTTGCTGACAAGTTAGACACATGGATACAAATGATGCCGCATCCTGCTTCATACCTCTCCACCAAAATTGTCGGCTAAGGTCATGGTACATTTTTGTACTCCCTGGATGCATTGCAAGATGAGAGTGGTGAAATTATCAAAGTACTTCTTCTCTACATGACTCTGGTACAAAAAGACAGTCCATATACCAGACATTTGACTTGGAATCGACCCTCAAACCCCTTTCTTCCTTCCCTTGTGTAATTTTCTCCTTGATTGTTTCAACTTCTACATCATTTTGTTGTGCATCAATAACTCGAGTAACAAGTGTTGGTTGTGCAAGAAAGGAAAACAAGGTGGCATGTGTCGAAGATTTGCCAAGATGCAAATTGAACTCACCCAAATCACCCAACATTTTTCATTCCTTAATAGCGAGATTAACAAGAGCACTTACGGATTTTCTTCTCAAAGCATTGGCTGTTTTCCCGGGATGGTAGTGTAATTCAAAGTCATAATCTTCCAAAAATTTTATCCACCTCATTTGACACAAATTCAAATCCTTTTGGGAAAATAAATATTTAAGGCTTTTATGATTGGAGAACACCTCAAATTTCTCCCCGTACAAATAATGTCTCCACAATTTTAGGGTAAAAATAACAGCGGCTAACTCTAAATCATGTGTTAGATAATTTCTCTCATGGGTCTTTAGCTTGCGTGAACCATAAGCCACTACTTTGTCCTCATGCATCAATACACATCCCAAACCCTCCCTAGAGGCATCACAGTACACAGTGTAACACAAACCACTCTCGGGGATGACTAGAACTGGCGAAGTGGTTAGCCTAGCTTTCAATTCTAAGAAGCATTTCTCACATGCTTCATTCCACAAAAACTTCACCCCCTTTCTTGTTAGCTTAGTCAACGAAGAAGCTAATGCGGATAAGTCCTTCACAAATTGTCAATAGTAACCGGCAAGACCCAAGAAACTACGGATTTCAAATGCGTTCCTAGGTCGCTCCCAATTCTGCACCGCCTCGATCTTTGAAGAATCTACGGTAACTCCATCATTGGAAACAACATGACCCAAAAATTTCACCTCGGAAAGCCAGAACTCACACTATTCATACTTGGCATATAATCTATTTTCCTTAAGTAATTGCAGCACAATATGAAAGTGCAACTCATGTTCTTCCTCGGAAGGCAAATATATAAGAATATCATCCACAAAAACTACCACAATCTTATCAAGATATTCACAGAAAACCGGATTTATCAAGTCCATAAAGCTGGCAGGGGCATTGGTTAACCCAAACGGCATCACAAGAAATTCATAGTGGCTATAACGTGTATGAAAAGCCGTTTTTGGAATGTCCTCTTCTTTCACACGTAACTGATGGTAGCCTGACCTTAGATCTATCTTTGAGAAACACTGAGAGCCCTTAAGTTGGTAAAAAAGATCATCTATTCTTGGCAACGAGTATTTATTCTTAACCGTGACCCTATTTAGCTTACGATAATCAATGCATAACTGTAAGGAACTATCTTTCTTCTTCGCAAAGAGAGTTGGGGCTCCCCAAGGCAAGGTACGAGGGCGTATAAAGCCCTTATCTAACAACTCTTGTAATTATTCATTCAAAACAAGCAACTTTGCTAGGGTGAATCGATAGGGTGACATGGAAATGGGTACGGTATTTGGCATTAGATTTATGGAAAACTCCACCTCCCAATGTGGTGGTAGTTCGGTAAGGTCTTCCAGAAAAACATCTAAATACTCACAAACCACTCTAAGAAATACCCCTCACATTTCACCGTTCTCATCAGTCATCAAGGTTGCAAGAAGACAAGTGAATTTACCTCGACTACGTGAGTCATATAACAGTGGTAAAACTCTATCAAACTTATTCCCCAGAAAATAGAAATAGTCACCCCTAGTCGTACATACAGCACTGTCCCACGATAACAATCTATTACCGTATGATAAGAGGACAACCAGTCCATACCGAGAATGACATCAAAACTAGTCATCTCTAACAACACCAAACTAAAAGGTAATTGGCGGTTAGCGACTTTAATCACACACCCACGGCACCTATGGGTCAAAACCAATTTACCTCAATTGGTGATTCTACCACAAGAGAAGATTCTAATGGTTCAACCTTTAACCCTAACATGGATGCGAATGAGGATGCTATGAATGAATGAGATGCCCTCATATCTATCAACATTTTCCCAAGTATTATATATGAGATATGTACCTTGCATCACCATAGGTCCGGTCGACTGTTCAGATGCGGTGACAGCATAAACTCTTCCCTGAGGCTTCTGTTAACTTTGCTCACCCCTTTGTTGATAGCTATGTGGTATAGATTGTACGGAGGTAGCTCCATGTACAGTTCGAGATGCTTGTCCAAACTGAACTAGCTGGTGAGCCTGTCTCTGGCTCTGTCCGACTGAAACCCTGAAGCACTAGTCATCCTGGTAAATTGGGGACAAAACTTCTTCATATGACCCGACTGGCCACATTGATAATAAACGGGCGATTGACCTCCACCCAAAGCCAAATTCTGAGAATGAGTAGAAAACTGTCGTTGTTGATTACCCTTTTGTGGGCACGTAGCGAGCTTATGGCCCTTCTCACCACATTGATAACAAGTGATCCCATTTTGTCCTGTACCATCCGTACTCCTTCTCGGCATGAACTTTGATGGTGCAATCGGCGACGACGATACATGAGAAGATGTAGAACTCATCGACTTCTTTGATGCCATAGAACTCCCTCGAGATTCGGCAAACCCTTGTCTTTTAAGTCGTCGCTTCTTTTCCTCGCCTTCAAGCAAAATCTCTACATGTGCCGCAGACTCTACTAACCTATCATAATCCCGGATCATGTTTTCCATCATTTTCATCAAAATTTCCAGCCTCAGTCTCTTCTCAAACTCTAGACACCTACGCTCCTCAGTACCTAACAGGTCGGGTGCAAAATGAGATAGGCTCATAAAAGTAGCCTCAAACTCCGCCACTATGGAATCGGATTGTTCAAGTTTCTCAAACTCTCTCTGCAAATGTTCCCTTGCTGTGGAAGGGAGGTACTTCTCTTGAAAGGCATGAGTAAACGCCTCCAAAGTATGCTCAATTCGACCTTTGGCATATTTTCACCATTGGCCGACATCCCCCTTCAATTGATAACTTGCAAGCGCCACCCGAAGTTCACCATCTCGAATATCTAAAATCTCAAAAGGTTTAGTAATTTGCTCAAGCCATTCATCCGCCTTTAACGGTTCAGCACCCCCAAGAAACTTGGCAAGATTCGAGTGGAAAAAATCTTTTTTTAGGAATAAAACTCTAGTCTCCCCTTCAATTGTTCTAGCGGCTTGTTCATCTCTAAGAATATCCATTGATTCCCTAAGGGCCTCGTCCATTTCTCGAGCCAACACTCTCATAGCGTCTTGGGCCGATGGAGCGGCCACATTATTTTGACCCACTCTTTTTTCTTGAGAAGGGATGTCTGGTTGAGCCAGAATATTCCTACCGCCTTAACAAGGCCTGCCACGACCCCTAACGCGTCCAGACATCCTATATATAAGAGTAGATGTGGACAAGATTAGCTCACAATTCATATACTAGTTCATCACTTTCTCCTTAAGTCTTAATATCATTTTCAACAAATTAAACATGTAAAAAAACAGAACACATATATATCCTTCTCCTAGGATATTAACTCATTTTACGACATTCAAGGATTTCCTAGTGGAAAAAACATTGATCAGATGCCTTTACAATGGGACTTCGATGAATGTAATGAACACAAGTCATACCTTAGAGAATAGACCCCATACACACCTATTCATATAAACACATAACCAAACAAAACCATTAACTTCTCATACTAACATGACAACCCAATGTGACAAAGTCACATCCCATGAGCTCCAGGTATTCGACCTGGTTAGCGCTGATACCAATTTGTAACACCTTGCCAAAATTATTTACTAGAGACCATTAACATACAGTCTTCACATAAACACAAAATAATTCCACCTAATTAATTCTCTTTCTCATTAAACGGCAAATTTGGTTTGCAAAACAATTACACAATAATTATCCCTGTTCAATGAGCTAAAAAAAATTTACAAAACAATTACGTTGATCCCCTATTAGTATTAATTGCATTGGAACCTATACAAAACAAACTTTACAAGTCTTAAGCCAAAATAAACAAAAGGGTTCCATGATTTCACTACAGTTCTCAATTCACAAAAGATAATTAAATAAAAGGTCTTTTTCTTCTCCTTCTTCATTGGCAATTTTGGGTTTCTTCGTTCTTTGAAAAGTTAGTAAATAGGGATGAACACTTTTGCCCAGTAGAGAATAACTTTAACCATGTATATAAACATTTGATGTAAATGTGCATAAATCAATTCTAAAAGCCAAGGATTCATTTATATTTCTAACTTTGTTTTACAAATATTGATCATTATCAACTTCCATACTTTCTCCGTCCTCACATGGATGGCATGTAGATGCCTCATACCTTCCTACTTTCGTCGTCCTCACACGAACCAGCCAGTGGACGCCTCACACATCTCCACATTTGCCGTCCTCACACGGACCGAGTAGTGGGCACCTGAAAGACAACCCCACATTCGTCGTTCTCACGCGACCGGGCAATTCGGCATCTTAAACACATTCTATAGCATTTAATTTCTCATCCAATGTCAACAATTTCAAGGATTTCCAAGTTTTTACTTATTAACATCCACTTTATCATAATCATGAACAAACTCCTAGGGTTCACGAGAAATTTTTGGGTGTAGATAGGCCTAGGGTTCACGAGAAATTTTTGGGTGCAGATAGGGTAGGAGCCATGTGGCGCTTTTCTCTTCTCTCATTGGTTCAGAGAGTGGGGCTACATTTATGTGTTGGGTGATAGGGAGACAACATGGAAGGTTATGGCGTTTGTGATTGGTTGAAAGCACCATATGACATGCCACATGGTACCCTTCTAGCACCCAAGAATTTTTCAGGGTTTACATAAGGATTTGGGACTTTTTCTTCCAATTGTTCATTTCCCTTGGCTCAAGTATATCCACACATTATAATTTAATTATTATAATATTTGAAGAAAAGAATTATCCCAATATACAAATAAATAAATAAACAAGACATAATGTGCTTAATTATGTGCATTGCATGTATCAAATTAATTTTTTGTTTTATATATTTTATTTTTTGTCTATCTTATTGATGTATTAATATTAATTTATATTTAAGTTTTTATTTAACATGAAATTATTTATTACAAAATATTTATATTTAATTTAAATTTTATATACCTATATATAATATATATGAATAATTCAAAAAAAATATTTAAAAAAATTAATACTTTACATAATTAATTTATATATTTTCCTCTTAATCGAATGACAACATATTTATGAGGACGCTTGGGAGAAAAGTTTATTTTTTGATTTTCATTGACCAAAAGTCCAGATTGTAAAATACATGGTCTAAATGAACAAATTTGGACAAAAAGACCAAAATACCCCCTGTATATATATGACATACACAGTGCAAAAAAAATCAAAATCCCTCTCTCTCTCTCTCTCTCTCTCCAATCTGAGACCCAAACATCGGTTTCGTCTTCCTTTTCCCTCTATCTCTCTCTCTCTTGAGCTATGGTTTGTCGATCGGTGGTGGTTCTCTCTCACCGACCTCGCTGCCATCGTTTCTATTCTCTCTCCTCTCCGATAGCACCGCCACGATAGTTGTTCGCCCACCACCATCTCCTGCTCTCACCGACGTCACCGCCGACTGACCACCACTCATCCGTTACCTCTCTCTCTTCTAAACACCCACCGCAACATCTATTGCCATCGCCATCGTCAACATCCATATACTCGCTCTTGATCACTCTACTTCTATTTTTCCTCCTCGTGACGTTTTTCAGTGGAATCGTCGTCGGTAGTGGCGAGAATAGTAATCACCGTTGACTCTGCGTCACCGTAGTCTCCATGATATCCACAAAATCTATATTGTTTCGATTTGAGAAATGATTCGATTTCAACGAAGTAGACGTTCAAATCTACGACCGCCTCTACCACATCGCCTTCGCAAAGTCCGGATTTACAACTGCCGCAGTTCCAGTGTTTCTTGCGACTCTTCAAGGGATCACGATCTCAGCTCAATCGTTCACAACACCATAGACAGGTACGTTGCTTTGAATCGATCTTGATTTTTTCAATTTGTTTGAGTTCGGTTTTGATCTTATTATGCTTTTGGATTTTTTAGGGGAATTTTTGGCACAACAATGATGGAGATGATTGGAGGGTAGATTAGTGGGTTGAAGTTACCTCTTTCTTGGGAGCCAAGAGCTTTAGTCTCGATCTTGGTCACCTAGAGAGAGAGAGAGAGAGAGAGAGAGAGAGTCAAAAAATGGATTCTGGAGTTTTCTTTTTGTTGAATGGTCACCGTAGAGAGAGAGAGAGAGAGAGAGAGAGAGTCAAAAAATGGATTCTGGAGTTTTCTTTTTGTTGAACAGATCTAGTTTTTGTGTGTGTGTGTTCAACAGCTTCAACCGTGTCCATACTGAAGATCCTCGCCATCCCCAAACCCGATCTGTGTTAGATCTATTTGTTTGTTTTTTTAATTATTTTTTAGATTTGAAACCAGATCTGTTCAAAAAAATTGAACAGGTAGTAGGTGTGAATTTGAACTGAAAGGGCTAGTCTTGAGATTTAGGGGTTCAAGCGACACTCTGGAAATGGGGCCTTCTTATATTGAAATTTTTTTTTTTATACAAAAAGTGTTAAGTTACAATTTTTTTATTTGCACATATAATTATTAAAATTATAAATAAAATTTTTTCATATATTAAGATAGGAAGTAATCATTACAAATACTTAAAAAAATAAAAATCTAATCTTCTTGTTGTTTTTTTGGGTCTCATGTTCAATTGGGTTTATAGTATTTGGGCCTTTTTTTTTTTTATATATATCTAAAACACAAAATTATATTTGGGGATTCCTATTTTTAGCCCAAATTTGGGGGCCCAAGGCGCAGGCCTGTCTTGCCTACCCTCAGGGCCGGCTCTAACTAACAGAGGAAAGATCGACCAGAGTTGTTGAATTTTAACAGATAGATAGTAGGAAGAGAGAGGTTTTTAACAGATAGATTTGTTGTTGTTAGATTTTTAACAAATAGATATTATTTTTTTGTTGTTGTTTGATTTTCAGCAAATAGATTTGTTATTGTTGTTGAATAGATGATAAAATTGTGATACATGTATTTAAATAGATAAATGAAATAAATTGAATAGATAACAAAATATGGACATATATTTGAATAGATAAAGGGAAAAATTGAACAGATAAATGAAAAAATTGAACATATAATAAAATTTGGATAGATATTTGAACAGATAATGGAAAAAAATTGAACAAATAATCAAAAATCTTTAATAGATAAATATAAATTTGAACAGATAGAGAAAACTTTTGAATAGATAAATATAAACTTGAATCGATAAAAAATTTCAATAGTTAAAAATAATTTCAACAGATAGAAAATAATTTAAGTGGTTAGTCAACGAAAGTTAACAGATAAATTAAGGGTAAAATTGGAAACAACATGTCCTTTAAATCTAATAGAAGAATTTTTCACCAAATTATTTTACAAGGGTGGATTTCTCACTAATAAAAAATATCTACTGGACCTAATGCCTTAAATACCTTTAAGTTGGATTTATCACCAATTTTTTCTATTCAAGATATTTAATCTTTTAAATAAATTTTGTGTAATTCTATTTCTACATATTTTTATTTTTTAAATAAATATAAAAATAAAATAGAATTAAATAATTAGTAGGGAAATTTATCTATAAATTCCATATTAAGGAATAACGATCGGTTTAGTCACAATTTCTTATAGACTAATTAGTCTCATTGATTATTTGAAAATTAAATTTATGGTTATACTTTTATTTCGATTATGTTTCCTTGTTTTTCTTTTCTTGTTTCCTTTTTGTGCTGGATATGTAAGATACACAATTTATGATAATCAAATTTGGAATAAATTTTTATATGAGAATCTTTTTTATTTGGAAAACATTTCAAAATGAATACAAAAACTCCTTAGTAAGTTTTGGATAAATGTATAATTTCAAACTTTAACACTCAAATGTGACACTCCAATGTAATGCTTCAAAAAAACTCCATAGTGTATTTTTTTTTTTCAAACGTAACACTCCAATATAATATTTCAAAAAAATTCCTTAATATAACACTCTAATATAACACAAAAAAAATTCTTAATGTATTTTTTCTAAACGTAATACTCCAAAAAAATGATATGGAATTCTTCAAACCATTCCAAAAGGGGTGCAAAAAGTACTTAGTAAGTTTTTGACAAATGTATAATTTGAAACTGTGAGTGTTACGTT